AAAGCAGCGACCAATGAGAGGCGAGCTCGGCTGGCGCGAGGCGACCGAGCCAATGAGCGGAACTGGGCTTCTCGCGCTGGTTGGCTGGGCCGCCTCGCGTCAGCCGTACTCGATTCTTATTGGTCACTGTTTTTCGTTGATAACTCGTTAACGACGCCTCGGAGAACATTTTCGTAAAGGAAGAAGTTGCTTCAAATGATCCGATGAACCCGCCATTTCCGGATTGCGAGACATTTTTGGGACACCCGGTATATTCGATAGCGCAGTTATGATATACACTTCATTAATAACATAAATAGGATCGATTTCGTTGACAATAAAATTGCGACAAATTTAAAAGAAACGAAAAGAAACCACGCAAAATCGATTTTCATCGTTCAAATTTCCGCGAAGTCACTGCGCGTGCCACAACGACGGCCTTCAGCGAAGCGTTGAAAAAACCAGGTCGCCAGCCGCGTTAATAAAAAAAAGGAACAGCTTGCCGGTGTTAAGTTCAACCCTCGTTCGTCGAGGCTTCTCCGACGGTAAATCGTTCCGAGGCGAATTATTAATCGCCGGTCCCCGGAGTAATAGCCGCGGGAAAAAAGTGCCGAGCCGAGTCCTTTCTCTTTCGAGACGCGCGATTATAATCCTCGAATTTCAATCTATGTATATAAGATATAATAAGATAAACGGTGTGGGGCTGTGTTGCCGGCGGCGTCGAAACGCGACGCGCGCGCGCCGAACCCAAATCCGAAACCCCGAGGAGATTAGATTACCGTATCTGTATTACGGTACTCTAATGTATAGTAAACCGATCTCCGAGCGATATGCGAATGGAACGGTAAGATCGTTTCGAGCAGGCCTAATTTTCTGATTCGGCTGATTCGAAAGTAGAAAATCGGTTTACTCGACGACGGAGTGTGCCTGGTCTGGTGGTTGGAAGGACAGGTCGAGAACCGCCACCCCTCGGAGGCGTGGATCGGAAGTGGGGTTGTTGCAGGTAACAGTCCCGTTCTACGAATACGTACACGGTGCAGCTACGGTCGCTAAAACTGCTCGAATCGGTTTTTTTTTCAGTGGGTCGGAACGACTTTTTTTGTAACCGGCGGCTTTGCGACGGTGCGCTTGCTTCGACGATAGGACAGTTCCGGACGCCTGCGTTTCTTTTATAAATGATATTATAAATAATAGTAAGTAAAATGTAATATTAAGTTAGCAATAATAACAAGTAAAGAATAATAAGTGAGAAATAATAGTAAGTAAGCAATAATAACGAGTAAGAAATAATAATAAGTAAAAAATAATAATAAGTACGAAATAATAATAAGTAAGAAATAATAATAAGTAAGAAATAATAATAAGTAAGAAATAATAATAAGTAAGAAATAATAATAGTAACTAAGAAATAATAATAAGTAAGAAATAATAATAACTAAGAAATAATAACAAGTAAGAAATAATAATGATAACTAACTAAGAAATAGTGCTAATTAAGAAATAATAATAACTAAGAGATAATGATAACTAAGAGATAATGCTAACTAAGAAATAATAGTAAGTAAGCAACAATAACAGCTAAAAATTAGTAACAAGAAATAACAACGAGTAAATAAAAAAAGTAATTGCATTTTTGCAATAACAAGTAAAAACCACCAATAAGTGAAAACTAGTAAATAAATAAATAAATAAATAAATAAATCCTTCCTCGGTGCCATTAACGAACCATTAACAGAGACACCCGACGGTGGGGCGTCCACCGCGAGACGTCTCGCGGCTGGCAATGAACGGGTTAAGCTCCGAGCGTTCATTCTAATTAAACGAAAATCCCGGTGGTGTGCGCGAGCTCGTCGAATTTTTCAGCCGACTGAAAGTCGGCTGGTAAGCCCGGACCCGGGGCTTAAGAAGAGAAGGTTGCCGACGAGGCGCGTCGATACGATCAAAGCGTTAATTGCGTTCCTGCGAGGGATGATGGCTGACGGCCGCGAGAAAAGGAAGAAGAAGAAGAAGAAGAAGAAGATAAATCGTGTTCAGAGAGAAAGAGAGAGAAAGAGAAAGAGCTCCGAGAAAATTTGCCACAATGTAGCAGGTGGGTAGTCGGGGGTGGGAGGGGTGTTACAGTTCGATTTCCACGCACACGCCGACAGATAGGATCTCCGTTCGGCCGGTGGCCAGGTGGCCATGGCGACGGATCGTGAAAATCGCGTGGCCGGGACCGATCAATACGAGGTGCGGTGCGGCGCGACTCCACGGATCCCTGCCTCGCTGTTTCCTCCGTCTCTCTCTCTCTCTCTCTCTCTCTCTTTCTCTCTCTTGGCCGCGCGCGCACGCTCCCCGTTTCTCTCCGTTTCGCTCGCCTCTCCCTATCGGCCTCTCTTCCTCCGGTTTCCCCGGTTTCCCTGGTGCCGCGACTGCCTCGCGTACGAGACCCCGAACACCCCACCAGCCGCGATTCTCTCACCCTGTGCTCGCCCCTCCCCCCTTCTGCTCTCCTCGCGTCTCTCACGCACCATTTTTCTCCCTCGCTCTGTCTCTCTCGCCCCTCTTTCTCTCGGCTTCTCTCTTCCGCCTTCTCTCTCTCTCTCTCGCCCCTCTTTCTCGCGGCTTCTCTCTTCCGCCTTCTCTTCTCTCTCTCTCTCTCTCTCTTTCGCTTTCCACCCCCGCGCCGATCGCGTCTCTTCCTCTCGCGCGTCATTATTCTCCTTCAGAGCCTCTCTTTCTCTCCGTTTTCTACTCCGCGAGCACTATTTTCTGCTTTCACCGCGGCCTTTCTCTCTCTCTCTCTCTCTCTCTCTCTCTCTAGCTTCCGCCTACCTTGTCCCTCCCCGTCCTTCCGTCCGTACGTCGTGCCGACGCGCAATTACTCGCTCTTTCTCCTACCTCCAGCGAAATATTCCGCTCTCTCGTTTATAGTATTTAATATCAATATATATCTAATATAATATATATATAATATCTATATATCTATATAGCTTATAATATCTATATATCTATATAGCTTATAATATCGAATATTTATAATATTCCGCTCGCCAATTCCTGTCCTTCGCTCGCCACCCTCTCTCTTTCGCTCGCATCCCGGCGCTCTCTTTCGCCGGCCCTGCGATTCTCTTCTGTTCTCTCTCTCTCTCTCTCTCTCTCTCTCTCTCTCTCTTTCACTCGCATCCCGGAGCTCTCTTTCGTCGACCCTGCGATTCTCTTCTGTTCTCTCTCTCTCTTTCTCTTTCCCTCTCTTTCTCTCTCTCTCTCTCGCTCTCTCTCTCTCGCTTCATCCCCTTCCACGCGAGAAACCGCAAGCTCCGGAGGCAGGTCGCGGTAAGAAGAGAAAGAGAAAGAAAAGAGAGGCGAGAGATTACGCAGGAATAGCGAGAGGGTGAGAATATGAGACTGTGCCACGGCACGTGCTCCGAAAGCCTCGGGAACGTTCGCGGGCCGTCGGAACGGCTCGGGAACGGGCCGCGTGTCGCGCCCGTGCGAATCGGCCATCGCGGAGAACCCGGCGCTCTCCTCCCCAACCGTGAAATCGTATTAACCCCTTTGCTATTGCAACGCCGAGCTATTGGAACTCCGCCCGGAGCCACCGAATTCTCTGCCGTTTCCGAACTCGCGATCGCGTTCGAACGAATGAGGATCGGATGCAATGAGGATCGTTCTTTCTTTGATTTCATGCTTCGGAAATTTAACCCTTGTCGCGCCGATCGGCGCGGTAACGTTGGCAAACTCGAGGCAGCGTTCGGGGTTAAATTCTCGGAGCGACGAGGGTTGTATTCGAGCGACGGAGAAATAGCGTTTACGTCGCGAGCGAATTAGGTGCACAGTGAAATGTCTCCCTGACTGAGAAAAATGGACGATTTGGGAAGAGGAGATACGATTGTTCGAGCCTTGCGGTTTATTTTTATATAGTTATAGAAATGATAATAATAATATTAATGAAATAAATAAATATATAATATTATAAATAATAATATAATGTAATATATAATATAATATTATTAATATATATAACATTATAATATAATATATAATATATATAATATTATAATATAATATATAATATATAATATAATATTATTAATATATATATATATATAATATATATATAATATTACAATATAATATATAATATATTATAATATAATAAAATTAAAAAATTAAAAAATAATATTAAATGATGATAATAATAATAATAATATAAAAATGTCCACAATTATAAAAATGAGCAGCGAAGGCTCAAATAATCGTATCTCCTTCTCCCCAAATTGTCCATTTTTCTGCACAATCTGAGCGTCAGTTAGGGAGACATTATTCGAGCCTCGCAGCTCGCTTTTATTATCATTGACAATTCGTAACCATAAAAAAAGGAACCGCAAGGCTCGAATATAAAATCGTATCTCCTTCTCCCCAAATTGTCCATTTTCGTGGTCAATCCGAGGCATCAATTAGAGAGACATTACTGTACTTCGAGCAACGAGATCCTCGCGTAAATTCGCCGAATCAATATACAAAATCGAAGTCGCAAATAATTTTGTCTACGCTTGCGATGAAACCGAGCCGAACCATTTCAAAGGCGTCGCGAAAATTGCGCGTTCGTCGATAAACCCGTCTAACAAACCTTCGGCGGCGACGTTTTTAAATTGGAACGTTCGAATGAACTTTGTCCTTCGAACGAGAGACAACCGTCGAATCGACGGCGGTCCAGAACCCGGAGATCGATCGCAAAAAATTACCGAATGATCGTCGCGATCGATCCGTGTCAACGAACCACCACCCTCTCCTCCCCTCCCCTCCCCCTCCCCCGAGAGACACTCTCGTCGAACCGCTCGCGACGAGCGAGACGTCGAGAATTCCGTCGCAACCCCGTAGAAACATCCCCCCCCTCTCCCCTTGCGTCGACAGGTTCGAGGGAACCACCTTGACAGCCCGGAACGGAAAGAACGGAACGGTAAGAAGAAGAAGAAGAAGAAGAAAAAGAAAGAAGAAGAAGAACGGTTTCACCGGAGAGCCAGAGGGTTGTGGCTTACCTTCCGACTTTTCTTCACCTTCGCCGGTGATCCGACGACGTCTACTCTCCGATCGATGCACAGGATGCACGACGACGCACAGGACACACACCGAATACCCGTATAGAAAGAGCGAGAAAGAGCGAGAGAAAGAGCGAGAGAGAGAGAGATAAATAGACAGATAGATAGATAGATATAGTTTGTATCTGTGTGTGTGTTGCGCCCGTTGAAACGGAAAGAAATTGCGACGACGACACGTTCAACGACGACGACCGTTAACGGATAAAACGATTCGTCGACGAAACGAGAATTGAAGAAAAAGTAAATGAAATAACCGTGGAACGTAGTAGTAGTAGTAGTAGTAGTAGTAGTAGTAGCAGTAGTAGTAGTAGCGGTGGTAGGTAGGTAGCGGTGAACCAACGAAACCGAAGCAGAAGAACGGAAAACCGAGGAAACCACTGCTCCCGGGTGGACGCTAGTCCGTTTCCACGTCCCCCGTGTCTCTCGTCTCGTTCCGCTGTCTCCCCTCTTTCGGCCGGCGTACGGCGACGCTTCCGTTTCGCCTGGCACGCGAGCAACCGAACCGAGCACAAGAGCACCGAGCACAGAGCACAACAGCACCAAAGCACAAGAGCACAGAGCACCAAGCACAGAGCAGCACCGACGCGCGCGTACGGCCGGGTTTAGTGTTGCGTTCACACGTTTACGCTCTTAGATTATTGCTCTCTGGGTGTAGTCGGCAATGCCCTCTCTCTCTCTCTCTTTCTCTCCTTCGTTCGCATTCCGTTCGGCCACTCTTTTGGTCTTTCTTTCTCTCTCTCTCTCTCTTTCGTTCGTCTTTCGCTCCTCTGACAAGTTATGGAAACCGCCGGGGCTTGCGTGTGTTGGGGCCGGTGAGGCTGGCTAGGGCTGATGGTGGCTACGTGCACGCCGCTATCAACGCTCTCTCGCACCGCCGCCGCCCGGAACAGAAGGGGAAATCAATGAAAGAAAAGTACGACGCGAGCGGCGCTCGTAAATCGGCATTTATGCTCGCCACCAACGGATTCACGGGTCCCTCTCTCTCCTCCCGCTTCGATCGGACCACATTAATCTATCTCGCTCCTCGACCCTCTCTCTCTCTCCTTGCCCCACTCTCTCACTCACTCTCACTCTCACTCGCTCGCTCTCGCTCGCTCTCTCTCTCGCTTTCTTCGTTGGTCTCTGTTCGATTCGAAATTGTAACCACCGTGTAGAATTTTTGTTCGTCGTCGTCGTCGTCGTCGTCGTCGTTGTTGTTGTTGTTGTTGTTGTTGTTGTTGTTGAAACAAACTGGTCTTCTTTGCGGTGAATATTTGACGTATTTTGACTCGTGGAAACGATATATAGTATGTACGTGTGACTGTGTGGTAAAGGGTTACGCGACAGACTAGAAATTAAAGCGTTAAACACTATACTAAGGAAACGGAAAGAACGATACGACACGGGCGGAGGCTGCCTAGAGACTGGACACACCGGCCGCTCGCGAGCCGTATCGCCGCGTATCGCGCCGTCTCGCGCCGCCAGCCGGGAACCCTCGGGTACGGTCGGCGCGGCTCGGCCGCGCTCGCCCGCCCTCGGCCCCGCCAACGGGAGAACGAACCCCCTCGAGCGAGCTCCTGTGTGTGCGTTACGTATCCACTCCCACCAGAGCCGGGCGAGAGCGTGCACTTCGAGGGGGTTGCCGATCGAACTAATAAGAGACGTGTGCGCGTTCTTAAATAAACTGCGATCGAACCGGGGCACCCCTTTGCATCCCTCGCAAACCCCTCGGCAGACCCTCGCGGCTCTTGCGCCTTTGCGAGCGGGCCCCCTACTATACCCCCCGCCCGCCCCTCGAAATCGACCGATCGAATTTAAAAACGTCCGACGCCGACGCTGCTTCCCCCGGGCCCCCTCCTCCCTCCTCCGTGTCCCGCTTTCGAATCTCGGACGATTTCGGGACGAGTTCGAAAATTATTCTCTGCGCGCCGAGAATTTTGTCGGTGGTTTTTTGTGAACGATCCGAGAGTTGCGCGGGGCGCATCGTAAATTCGAAGACGATGAGAACGCGTTGGGCGAGATTTTCGAGGTTGGGATCTCGGTCCTACGCGTCGAGGTTATGTCGATGGCGAAGTTAAATTTTAAAAGCAAACAAAATTGAAGAATAGGAGAATATTTATTTATTACAGTTTTATATGTTATTTGGTGAATGTAAGAGTGGTTATCAAATTTTTGATTTTTGTCGAAGTCAAATTTTTTTATAGAAAGACGAACGAAATGAAAGAATACAAACATTTATTGTAATATAAGATTATTGTATAATATTATATTATGATATTTATTGTAATATAAAATTATTGTATATTATTATATTATGATATTTATTGTAATATAAAATTATTGTATATTATTATATTATGATATTTATTGTAATATAAAATTATTGTATATTATTATATTATGATATTTATTATAATATAAAATTATTGTATATTATTATATTACGATATTTATTGTAATATAAAATTATTGTATATTATTATATTATGATATTTATTGTGATATAAAATTATTGTATATTATTATATTATGATATTTATTATAATATAAAATTATTGTATATTATTATATTACGATATTTATTATAATATAAAATTATTGTATATTATTATATTACGATATTTATTGTAATATAAAATTATTGTATATTATTATATTATGATATTTATTGTGATATAAAATTATTGTATATTATTATATTATGATATTTATTATAATATAAAATTATTGTATATTATTATATTACGATATTTATTGTAATATAAAATTATTGTATATTATTATATTATGATGTTTATTGTGATATAAAATTACTATATATTATTATATTATGATATTTATCGTAATATAAAATTATTGTATATTATTACATTATGATATTTATTGTACTATAAAATATCTTATCGAACGAACGTAGAGAGGCGAACGTATGAAATTAATTCTGAAGTTAATTACGAGGTTTAAAATGAAGTTAATTCTGCGCGCGATCCTTCAAGCCAGTTTTTCGCTTTCCGTTCGAAGATCGCGTTACACGCGATCGAAGCTGCATTAAAAAATCGAGAAAAATCGAGCGCAGCGCTCTAACATAATTTTCAAAGAAACGTGAAAAATTGTACGGCGGCAACTGTTACGATGGCAGAACGAAGCTCGCACAGCAGTTGGGCTCGGCAGACCCCACAGGACGAGCCCAAAGAGTTCACCCTTTGCGGTTCCGTGTTCATGGGCTGAACTCGATATTCCATTTAAACAAGCTGCCATCGGCAAACGAACCGCGGCTCTTGAAATTTAAAGCCAACTCTCGACACACCATCCGTCTTTCACCATCCGGCAACCTTTTATATTCAACTTATTCGGTTTATTTTTCTTGTTTTTTACGATACAGCCCGGCAATCGAGATGTTCGCGCAACGAATCCGCGCGGTCCAGCGACGAAATTAATCGCGCATCCGATGGAACTCGACGTTTGCGAATATTGCGAACCGAAAGATATTGTCTGCCTGCTCGGATTAAACGAATTAAGTTGCAAAAATTTCGTGGGTGCATCGTTACGGTTTTCGTTTAAATACGTTAAATACGTTCGGTGCTGCGTGAATCACGTATGGGCGACACTAATTTTTAACTAGGTTTTCGACATTCATTTTTACTATAATATATTGAACAAATTGAATGTCGCCAGGATTTGTAGAATATAAAATAGCTGAAGCAATATTTCCTATGTGGTGAATTATCACTTCCTAGTTTCGGTGTTATTAATTAAGTCACTTTGATATTGTGTAAATTTTTCGAGTTAATGTATTCGGCATTTCGTGTGTTAAGACATCGTAAATTGTTTAATAACGATCTCTTTAGACAGCTCTATTATTCTGTTTCTCTGCATTGATGATCGGTCATGAGTTCATTCGTGTTTTTCAGGCTCGGACGTTGCAAAATTGCCGGTCAATAATGTGTTGAGCAACCGTTACGTTATTTAATTTAATTTAATTTAATTTATATCTTATATACAATGTTTTTAAAATACTCTATTTTTAGATATATTTGATTTTATAATTTGCTTCCTCTTTTCCATTTTTCTGCAACAATGTTACGCTTTTTCTTTACACTGTAATACATTGTACATAATATTTACGATTTACTTGTCAAGGAACATTTTATTTCCGTCAATTAAATAACTAACTAAATAAATAAATAAATAAATCTCCCGTCAAACTACTACATATGAATTTATAACATGATTATACATCAATTTAACATGATCTATACATTGCACTGCTAATGGGTTTTCCCGAAAATAAATAAATAAATAAATAAATCTGACAAATGGTCATCGCGATAGTCACAACAGAATCGTCAGATTGTAAAAACTCCTGTATCAAACAACGTAATAAATTTTCTCCGAGACCCCGAAATCCTCCGACGCAATTTACGCATCTTCGAATTATAATATATATATAATATTCTATATTATATATATATAATTAATACAATATAATGTATCATAATATTCTATATTGTATATATAATTAATATAATATAATATATTATAATATTCTATATTATATATATAATTAATATAATATAATATATTATAATATTCTATATTATATATATAATTAATATAATATAATATATTATAATATTCTATATTATATATATAATTAATATAATATAATATATTATAATATTCTATATTATATATATATATAATTAATATAATATAATATAATATAATTATATTCTATATTATGCGTATATTACAATATTCCGCGATCGAAAGGTTATTTCGCCCGTTCATTTACTAAACAACAAATAATCCTATAAAAATATTCGTCGACGTCGGGCAGAGGCGCGTAAATTCTCCTCAAATTCCTCGAGGTCGAAACAAGCGTTTCGAACAAGAGCGACTCCGTCGGCTCGCTGAACGCCTCGCCGACGACGATGTACCAGCGTCCCCGATGGCCCTCGAGATGTTTGCAGGGGTTTGTTCGCTCGAAATGTTTGCAACATGGCTGCCCCGATATTGCGAGCAGGAACGAGGAACGTTGGAGGCTCGGTGGTGTGCCCGGACCCCAGCGCGCCGCCAGCTTGCCGCCCCTCTTAGCTCGACGTCAACCCTCCCCTCCCCTCCCCCTCGTTTCGCGTCAGATCATGACCACCACACCGCTCGTTCACGGTTTTTGACCCCCGCCGTTCCCCCGGCCTTGCTATCGCGTCGATACAAGAGTCCTTTCACCCCCCTCGCGGCACCGAGACCGAGGCCGAGGCCGAGGCCGGATCGTAAGTGAACTCGAAACCGTGAATTACGCTCGTCGGGGCTCGAACGTGGCCGTTTGCCAGAGGGACACCCGACGACGCAGCCCCGGATCGGCCACGAAACAGCCCCGAAGCTTTTTTCGAAAGCTTTTTCCGAAAATTTTCCCCATGGAAAAACGTCCACCGTTCCGTTTTTGTCGCTCGCGCGCGCGCGCGCGCCGAACACCCCCGACGCGACACTTGTATGAGTTTCGCCGTCGTTAAGTCAACGGGTAAGAAGAGGTCTTAACCTACTTAAGGGCGAGAAGCCGGCGCACCTGTGTGTTCCCTCCGGCGGCGATTATCTCGCTCCGATTGCTCTCCTTCGATTCATTGGCTCCGACTTCCGGCGCGCGCGGGCAGCCACGGTGTGAACGCGGTCCGTCGGAATTCGGAGCCTCCTCGAACCTGCTTCACCTTTCTTCATCACCCCCTTCGTACACCCCCCAGCGATCCAAGGCGGCTGGGTCGCGCCCAGGTGCGAGCCGAATTAGGGTGCGAGCAGTTCGAATCGGGGAACTAAGTTCGCTTTCGACTCGATCGCGTTACAGTAATGACTCTCTAATTGACGCTCGGATTAAGCAGAAAAATAGGCAATTTTTATATAATAATATATATAATATTATTATTATATATAATATAATATAATATATATGTAATATTAATATATATAATAATATAATATATATATTAATATTAATATATATAATATATAATATAGGCAGTTTTTATATAATAATGTAAAATATATAAGATACATAATATAAATAATCGTAAAAAACGAGCCACAATGCTCGAATAATCGAATCTCCTCTTCTCAAAGTGTCCATTTTTGGGCGCGATCCGAGCGTCAGTTAGAGAAACATTACTGTATTATTGCGGTTTCTCAGTGACGGGGAACTTTGACGGAGAAATTGGCGACCTTTTACGCCAATGAATTGACATATTACTGTAAAGAGAGAGTAAAGTAAAATATATTACTGTACAGTAATATAATTAAGTACTATACTAAGTACTGGTATTAAGTACTGAATTTAATTAAGATGTCGCGGACGCGAAAGAGTTCTAATTCGCTATGATAAATTTGAACTTTCTAGTCACGGTTTAGTTAATTAAATTGCTCCGACTTTGTGGCTGATTATCGGCATTGAACTATATTACTGATCCTGAAGATAGCGAGTACG